ATAAGGAGGATTGGTGGGTTTGTCAAATTTTTTTACTTTTAGATATCTCATTCTTCGAACTCATTTTTCACACAATTATTCAATTTATGCCACCCAAAATTTTATTCCAGTTTTTCTCTCACCTTTATAAATAAAATCAAGTTTACTATAAATAATTTTAATGTGTTGGCAAAGTGGAATTGTGCCTTATTTAATACGTCCAATTCTGACCCACAATGGTACTATATCCCCGCAGGACTCGTTTACATCCTAACATTAAATTACGTATTATAGTCTCTTTTACTTTATGTGATGAGGTTGGACTATTAATTCAAGATCACTGTTTGACCTTGATTTGCATATGTTGTTTGCAAAATATGATTTTTTTTTTTTTTTTAAACTAGTCAACCACAGACAATTTGTTGGGACTAATTTGATATTCACGTGCAATACCAAAAAAATTTCCAAATGTGATGATAAATTTTAAAGTTGGGAACAATTGACTAATTTTCAGACCATTAAAGTCGTGGACGACTAAGGCTAAGGTACATATTGTTGAGTTCTGTTAGAAACGTCGTTAATGTGCACGTTCAAATCTATTAAATAATAAATCGCAATAATTAATTGTGATGGTTTCATAATAAATCCAACAAAAATCTACTGCTGAAAATTGTGGCGGGAATTGATATTATATTGCACCCATTTTTACCCGAACTCCCGCCAATCAAAGCCATTACATTGTCGAGGACACTACTCGAATTTCTCTGTAAACCCTAGCAGTTCCATTTCCCCCCAATTTCCACGCCCCAAACTCACTCACTAAATTCCTATAGCATTCTCACCGAGAATCCCGAGCGTACATCGGTAGAAATGTTGGAGCTGAGGCTCGTGCAGGGTAGCCTGCTGAAAAAGGTTCTGGAAGCCATCAAAGATCTAGTGAACGATGCCAATTTCGACTGCTCGGCGACCGGATTCTCTCTCCAGGCCATGGATTCCAGCCACGTCGCGCTGGTGGCGCTTCTGCTCAGATCCGAGGGCTTTGAGCACTACAGGTGCGACCGCAACCTCTCCATGGGCATGAACCTCGGCAACATGGCCAAGATGCTCAAGTGTGCCGGAAATGATGACATCATCACCATCAAGGCAGATGACGGCAGTGACACGGTCACCTTCATGTTCGAGAGCCCAAGTACGTTAATGCCTTTGCTTTTTTTTTTTTTGGTACGTCGTGTTTGTCTCTATGACTGTGGCTTATTAAACCTGTTGATTGAGGTGGAATTAGTTGTTATAGATCATGTAAGCCATAAAAATCAATTCTTTTGTTATATATGATGCTTGAGATCCTGGAAGTTGATTTTAGTCTGATTAGATGGAGATATTTGTAGCTTTTGTGTTAATTTTGTGGATCAAGCCCTTTGACTTCAAGAATCTAAAAATTAGCTTATTATCTGTGCTGTTACATGCATTCTGAAGTGTAATAAATTTTCTAATGGGTTTCAGTTATTTAATGCTTTAATATGGTTATGGATCTAGTTATGGGGTGGAAAGACTAAGTATGAAAAACAGATGGGACTGTATAAAGAGTCTACTTGCCATATTCATATGAAGGTTTGACCTAAAGTTATTATAAAGTTATCTGCAAAGTTCTTATTATGCGACGACTAATACCATATAGTGACCAACAACGTTTACAAAACTCCTTATTTCTGTTCGAAAATTTTCCAAATTACACATAACACCTCGAGCACTAACATAACAAACTAACAATGTCTATGTAGTAGAAACATCAAGGATTCTTTTATTATTACTTATGTCTGTCGCGCTGCATGAGTGATTGCCTGGTATGTTATTTCAAATAAGCACTGTGTGGTTAGCTTTCCAGTATCTGTATATACTGATTTTTTAACTATATTTTTCAGCTCAAGATAAGATTGCAGATTTTGAGATGAAGCTCATGGATATTGACAGTGAGCATCTTGGAATTCCTGAAGCTGAGTATCATGCTATAGTTAGGATGCCATCTGCTGAATTTGCTAGAATCTGTAAAGATCTGAGCAGTATTGGTGACACGGGTAATGCCTATTAGTGCTCACTACATTAAAAGGATTTAATGTTCTCTTCACATATATTGACTTATTGTTCCCCTTTTGGATTTATTCGAGTTTGCAGTTGTGATCTCTGTCACTAAGGAAGGTGTAAAATTCTCAACAAGAGGAGATATTGGGACAGCAAATGTTGTTTGCAGGCAAAATACCACAGTGGACAAGGTTGTTCTGTTAGCCTTTGTAAAGCATATCATTGTCGTATATATAAAAGTCGATGGTTAATCCAAAAGACACCATCAACGTTACTATAAAAACTGTTTACACCATAGTGTACAAAGCATTATTACTAATTTGTTTCAACTTAAATAAATGTGGAGCACTTTAACTTCTCTTCTTTCTAATTCTTATTTCAAGATAAATGATTTCTTTTTTCTTATTAAACTAACTTGCACGATTATTCTTTATCTTTTACATTTCATGCTTTTTTAGCCCATTTTTCACCCCTTCACTCAAAGTTGAAAACTTATGATTTTCTCAACGTTGATATTTTGTGCAGCCCGAGGATGCCACGGTTATAGAGATGAACGAGCCAGTTTCTCTAACCTTTGCTTTAAGGTATTTGAACTCCTTCACAAAGGCAACTCCCTTATCGAACACGGTTACTATTAGCTTGTCCTCCGAGCTTCCAGTTGTGGTTGAGTACAAGATTGCAGAAATGGGCTATATAAGGTTTTACTTAGCACCCAAGATTGAGGAGGATGAAGAAGAAACCAAGGGATGACTTATTTGGGATTTTTATTTACTAGCTTCAGCCCAAAAGTAAACTTTGGTCTTGTTCTAAAAAGTGAGATTTTGAGTATTAGTTTGCTTCATTAGACTTCTTAAAACAGGGTGTGCATATAATCACATTGTATGATTATGACTTATCAGTACCTTTGCTTTGTTCCTAGTTTCATCTCGTAATTCTTTTGAAATTCGTGACTTTTCCACCGAGTGTTATGTTCAAAGTTCGGTCTCACAAAGTTGATTTAAGAAATTGCAGCGTGAACATTTTAAAGGTAAGCTTGGATTCTGTTCTTCTAGATGTAGGCACCCATCAACTAACTTAATTATGCAGACATTGATATGCATGAATGCTCAAACTATTTTTATTTCATTTGATGATAAATAAATTAATAGTTTTTACTAAAATGTAATCTACATTTTAACTTAATTGAGTGTAATCATTTTTTTTTAACTATTCAGTTATATAATATTGATTACTGAAACTAACTTATTATATTAAACACAAATCATATATGGTAATAATAATACTTTTTTTGTTTAATTAATTGTTAGGATTCCTCGAACTTAAAAAAAATACATTATTTATTATGCAATCAATATAGTGATGAATTTGAATAGCTTTGATACCGTTCATTTTTATTAAAGACCACTTTTTAAAATTTATAATTATTATATGACTTATAATATTAATATTATATATATACACATAACTTATACGATTCGAGACTTTTCCAAATCTGAAGATTACTAATATATTTTTCATCAAATATTTGAGCATTTTTCATCTTATATATGAATTACATTTTTTAAAGAATCGATGATAACACGAGATACAAAGTTACGAACTTAAATATCTCATAATTATTAAATCTAATTTCTTTTAAAAGAACTTGTATAATTTTGTATCCATTTGGAAGATAAAACTTTAAAATATTATTATCAATCATATAATCACAACAACTTGCTTCATGTCTGTATTTGTCTTGTCTAATTAAGAACCAAAACATTATAATCACATCTAAAGTTTTTTCCTACAAAAACAATTATATGCCATGTTTTTTAGTCACTCCACGAGATGCTCGTCTTTTTATTTACATAAATACCCTATATAGTTTAATTATCCATATTAGAACATCAAGACCAAAATTGTCATTTTAGATTGAAATAATACCTTTACAATTAAAATTTAATTGTTAAAATTTCGAGTCGAACTCGAACCATGTCGAGTATCGAGTCGCTTTCGATCATTATTTTTTTTCTTTTTATTACAAGTGGAGTCGAGCAACATTTTATATAGCTCGTCGAGTTCGAACAGTGAAGAAAAAAGTTCGGTTGGCGTTCGACAAGGTCCATGCTCAACTCGAATAGTTTACAAACCAGACCTAGTTGATAGGGTGTTCGAATGACTGAAATTAATAACATTCCCACATTCATCGATGACTTTGAATAAGGATGTGTTTACTCATTCAAAAGTATCGAGTAGAGCATCAACATATAAACATTAATAATCAAACCTTTAAAATGTAATACTATTATTTAATTATAATTCTAGTATTATATAATATAATATTTTTATTATATTTTTGCACGTGAGTAATAGTATAAATAAATGGGATCAAAAGGATACTAGACCATCTTTATCTCCAATCCAACTCAACCCAACATAATAAATAAAAATTATTTCTCTCTCCTCTAAATATACAACTCAATCTTTTAACCTAATTAACCTTTATCCCCAATCCAACCAACCTAAATATTTATTTTAATTTAATTTACTTAAAAGTTATAATTTTATTCCAAAATATATCAAGTGTAGTTTCTATTTGTAGAGAATAGAAAATAGAAATTTTTTATTTTATTTTATCAAAAAAAAAATAACACTTATCCAATCAAAATAAAACAAGTGTCCCATTTTCAGGTCACGACCCAAAATCATAATGCGACATGGATCAGGGTGATCCACTATGTTGGGCCACCGCTAAAGTCAGTCTTAAACCACCAATTTTTAATAACTACAAAACTCAAGATCAATATGAACAGTGCAAAGGAAAATTAAATAGTAAATGAAATAAAGGGCAAAGTCGTAATTGCATATTCAGAATTTTCTTGCCCCCCTGCCATTATTGCCGATCAATTTCTTATCCATTGGTCTCCTGCCTCTAGGGTTCGTGAACCCTCTGTGATCAATCCATGGAGAATAATTCTCCACCTTCAGGTAGAAATCTCCACTTTTCTGATGAATTTGATTAACTGCACGCTTAATCTCTTCAATATTTATGCGCTTTCGGGGGTGGCTTTGTAGATTTTTTATGCATTCGTTTTTTGGGGGAACTGCAGCGATTGATGTGTTGACCTGTTGGTTAGTTCTGTTTATTCACCATCGTTATCAAAATTTGGAGCTTATGTGCTATGAGAATTTTCTTGATGTTCTGTTTGTCCCTTTTTTTCTTGATCCCTTCTGTTGCTGAGAATTGATGGCCTACTTACCGGAGCTCCTTTCATTTGTTTAAATATATTGGGTATAAATTTTTCAAAGATAAAGATGAAATTTTTATCATAAATCTAGATATCCCTTTAATTTTCGTCACTTGATCGTAATTCAACTTCGCTATAGCAGTAAAATGATGTGCAGAAGTATATAGCAGTGTTAGATTACGAAAGCCTTGTAAGACGTGTTTGCCACTCAATCGGTTGCAAATTTGTCTTGCCTTTAGTTCTGCTTGAATCAGTGAAATGAAAATACAGTTCCATAAATTTGTGCGATTGTTTTGTTTCCATTTGGCTCACTGGTTTATGAATGGTGTTGGGTAAATTCTTGCTCAGGTGGTGCTCCTCCACCAAAACCATGGGAAAGAGTTGGTTCTTCATCCGGAGCTGCACCATTTAAGCCACCTTCTGCTGGTAACACAAGTGACGTAGTAGAAGCTTCTGGAACAGCTCAACCTGGTGAAGTTATTTCAACTGCTGATAGGAACACAACCATTAATAGGAACACCCTGGGGAGGCCTGTGCCTACCAGGCCTTGGGAACAACAGACATATGGAAACAGCTATGGAGGTATGAAGACTGAAATTTGGGACTGGCAGTATTGTTGTTTTACTTCATTTTATTTATTATGGGGACTTTAGCTCACCCAAAATGGAGTTTACAGATAGTAAATCTTTACCCAGTATGTTTAGATCATGATAAAGAAAGATATTCATTTGTGAACCATAAGTGAATATTTTCACACTGACCAGATGAAAAATGTTATTAGTAGTTAGTATAATCTGAATTTCAACTCGTGATCTGTGGCATAAGCTTACATAGACCACATCACGATAAGCACCAAACTAATTTATCTTAAGCAATTTCTTTTCTCTCTCCTTCAGAGTAAACAGTGCTAAGAAAACATCCTCTTTATGAGATGCTGATTTGGATAGAATAAAGAGTTGTCTACACAGCATCGGTCCGTACTATCAAACCTGATGTTAGAGGTGTTTACAAGTGGCCCCATAAGCTTTCATGTTTCAAGTGAATGACATAACTTTCTTATGTTTTTATTTAGTCTTATAATATATTGATGTTTTCTAGTGACTTGAGTTTAGGAGTTCTGTTCTTTTCTAGTCTCTGCTTTGAAAACAGTACAGTACATATCCATGTCTATTGATAATGTTGTACTATAAGTCTATAATCACTAAAAGTGGCCACAACTTTGTAGTGACCATTTTGACCTATAATAAGTACTAGTAGTTGCGACATCTTCTGCAAGTGGTTCATTGATTCTATTCGATTAGCATTCAATAGTTGTTTCTTCATGTTAAATTCAAATTGGGGGAAGAATTACTTACTTCTATCATGTGAATGGATGTGTGATGAAAAGGTAATGATTAAACCTGATGTGATAGGGAAATAATAAAATAATGATTGGCAGTTAGAACTGTGTGAATGGATGAGGATGAATAGTAAAATTTATAGTGAGTAGTGTAGTATTGATTTGTGTTTTATTTTAGATATTACATTGATAGAATTGATAAGAAGATAAATGAATAGCGTATTTTTTTTTTCAGGTGCATGAAATAATATATATCTCATACCACTCACCCTCTAACATCTTGCCTGTGCAATACTGAAGAGCTTATGAAGATGTGCACCTAATTTTTATGATAGGCACATTTTGTTGGTGAAATCTTTAGCCAAAACCATACAATGGATTGCAGATTAGCTATATATGTATACACTTACATTTCTATGTATAATTCAGTACCTGATGTCATCATAACCCTTTGCTTTGTTTTTCACTCAGGCTACGGATCAGGTTTAACTTACAATTCCGGATATGGAAGTGGGATGTATGGGTCCTATGGGGGACTTGGAGGGTCATATGGCGGCGGATTGTATGGAAATAACATGTACAGAGGAGGTTATGGTGGACTTTATGGAGGTGGCGGCATGTATGGTGGGGGAATGTACGGTGGTGGTGGTGGTTATGGAGGCCCAATGGGAGGCTATGGGATGGGCTTGGGAGGCCCTTTTGGTGAGCAGGATCCCAATAATCCCAATAATCCCTATGGACCTCCTCCTTCTCCACCGAGTTTTTGGGTTTCGTTAATGCGAGTGGTAAGCCCAAATACTTGCTACTTATGTTGTGCGAGCAATTTTCCATAACTTAGGGGGTGATTGGACATAAATCAAACCGGTTGTATTGGATTTTGAGTTAAAGTGAATTGATTTTAAATAAAAGTTGATTCAGGATTTTGAGCTTGTATTGAAATAATATTTAAATTGTAATGATTAAAGTTGATATGATAGTAGAAGTAGGAGAGATGTTAATGGAAATGATAGGTATTAAAAAACATGTTAGTGGATGAATAATGAATAAAAGTTGATGTTATGTATGGGGAAAATTGATTGATATTATTTAATTATATTGATAATATTGATGAGAGTTGAGTTGGATTTTATATTTAAGAGTGTAAAAAATCTATCAGATTGGTCAAAACCGGTTTTAATATGTAGCCGATCGCCCCCATAGCTGCTTAAAGTTCATGGTACTTGGTGTCTGAGAAATAATGGATACAAGAATCATGTTCCAAAGAGAAATAGGTGATTCATACCTGCTGCATTTCACAATATACCTCCCCCACCATAGAAAGAGGTAAAAAAAAGCGAAAGGTGAAGAAAACATGGGAAAACTGAAGAGTTCCAGTAGATAGTGAATCAAAAGTACTGTTGATGAATTTGTTTCAATAGCTTGCTTAGGCAGTAATTTTTCATTAGGTTCTGCAAATGCCTATTGGCTTTCTGTGTTCTTTGACCAATGCAGATGCAAGGTGTGGTAACTTTTTTTGGACGAGTTGCAATCTTGATCGACCAGAATACGCAAGCATTCCATATGTTTATGACTGCTCTTCTTCAGGTACTGTTTTTTTTTTTTT